AAAAGCTTTCTCCTCAAGCTGCACGCTTACAAGTTCTCTCGGTACGTACGTATACACCGAGCGCGCTCTCGTTCACTCACTCTTCACTTTCGCTTTTCGGTCGTCGTGTAGCAGCTGAGCGCCGCCGCCGCTGCCGCACGCGAGTCGTCGAACGTTTGCACATCGAGAGAGGAATCGGAAAAAAAGAGCTTTCGCCGACGAACCAAGCCAAGTGTCTTATGTAAATTGGCCATCGACGAACCTTCTTTTTTGTTTATTTATTTATTTTTTTTTAACGAACCAAGTCGAGCGTTACTCGCGCCTTTGCCGCGAGCTGTCAAAGCGCTTTGTTTTCAGTAGCTCAAGTCGTGCGTTACGAAAGGGGTTCACCGATTTGGTTTATCTTCGCTTTTGCGAAGAAAAATTCGATATAGAGGCAAAGGAGTTCTATTATTATCGAGGACACGCGAAGTCGAAGCTCGAGAAAAAGCTGCGTACTTATAGCCACGTCCATTATTCGTCGCGCGTACACTGCCACTGTTATTGAACTAATAAAAAATTGAAAGAGTCGCGCCGTTGTGTAGCGGGCGCACGAATTAGCAGGTGTCATTATTTTCGCGTTCGAATCGTCGTGCGAACAATCGCGAAGGAATCGCCGTGAAAGTGAAATAAGTGAGCTTACCTCTAACTCCCATAACAGCGTGATCGCCCGAGCCCACACGGCCACACGCAGGCGGAGAGTTGGTCCGCGCTCCTGATCAGACACTGCCAAAGTTCACGGGCGAGCGGCGGAGGGACGTTCGAAAACGGCAAGACAAGGCAGAGAGATAACTCACCGGTCGCCTCAGACGGCTTGCCGGCAGTAGCGGAGTCGTCGTCCTCGGCCGAGGCACGAGCCGGTCGTCGTCGCCATGGACGCCACCATCCAACCCCACGGTCGCGTTGCCGCTCCTGCTGCTCCGCTGCTACCCGTCCGCCCCTCTATCTCTTCTGCTCCCTCTCTGGCTCTCGCGTTCGACGAGCCTCTCTCGCTCCGCGTCTCTCCCTCCGAAAGCGCGGCGCGCACACGGGCGAGAAGGGCCAACGCGAGAGGGTGTGCGAGCGCGTCGGCAGCGCTGGGCGATCGCGACGTAAACACGCGCGGCGCTGGCCGGGCGCCGGGAAAAGCGGCCTCGGGGGGCGCATGCGCGCGAGGGGAAAATTTCGCGCGCCGGATGAACGGCAATAGGCAGACTCGCTCGCCCCGGCATGGGGAACGGCTATGGGGGTGGTTGCGGGCTCGTCGGCGCACACCATAGCATCCCTCCTTCCCGCGCGCCTCAGCGATCAATACCTACCAACCACCACGGGGGCTGAAACGCACCCGCGGAGATGCTCTGCGACGAGCCAATGGCAATGTGTCTATGCGATCTCCTGCGATTTGCCATCAGAGGGGGCAGATTATTATTGTATGCGACTTGGTGCTCCCGCTCTTTTGTCACTGCGGTGACGACGATCACGATGCAGATGATGGCGATGTCGATGCCGGACGTTGGCGATGGTTTTGTCTTGGCTTTTTTCGGCGAATGATTACGAAACATTTTAATAACATTAACAATGCTCGCAAACTTATGAACGTTGGTATCGGCAGCTTGTAATTGGACTCGAAGCAATATATTTTACCAGATCATGCTGAAATTATATTTTTAATTCTGGCATGATCATAGATTTATATACCCATATAAAATATCATACTTCGCAAAGTGTAATGTTTCCATGTTTATATTTAAAGACGTTTAAACAATAGCCCGGAGTGAATGTTACTTAGCATTCGCGTTCAATTAGTTAAACGTACTTAATCATGCGATGCTATTCGAGCAGATGATGTTTCGATAATTAATTGAACGCCACAACCACGAAACGGACAATATGATATTCGAGGCGCTTCCCAAATATATACAACTTGCAATGCGCTGCGCAAATTTCATTACGGCGATCCTTTCATCTATCCAGCGAGCTTTAATTGACTGCCAACGAGTTATTAGCCGCTCTTTGCCGATAATCGCCGCAGCGCGTGCAAACATACTTCCGGCGTGATCAATTACCAAATCGATAAACAAAGCCCGCAGACATAACAAAAAGAAGAAAGAAAAAAGAGAGAGGAGGAGCCCACGGGGCTCGCGCGCACGCATTTAGGCGAGTGTTGGTATATAATGCACGCGCGCGAACCCCCTATGTACCAATTTGATCTTTGTCTAGCGGCCCTCCCTTTCTCGCCCGTAATACTCGACGAGCTGTGTATGCTCTCGCAAGGGGGGAGCGAAAATGCAGTGGGTGCACGGCAGAAGTACGAAAGGGAGCGCGCTCTTTTTTCGAAGTCAGTGGAAACACTGCGGCCTGCCGTAGTAAAGGCGCGAGAAAGAAAAAAGCGGGATAGTGGATTAGTTGCGCGCGTGCAAGAGGTTTTTGAGGTTTTATGCTCCGGGGAACGTTGAGGGCGGCTATGACAGATAGATGTCGGAAAACCGGGGAACAAGTCGCCTTTCACAGAGCGGAAATGGAGCTTCCTTTTTTCTTTCATTTTTTTTTTATTTTTGTAGAAAATGTATTTATGGCAAAGAATAAAAGCGATAAAATCGGCGTCAATGTTACACGGACACAAAGGCGTTCGCTTAACAAGACGCGTCAAAGAGAAAACGCGCCAGAACGGAAGGTAAAAGTGAAAGGCAGAAATAAACGGACTCGCGTTACATCTCTGGTAAAAAGCAAAGGGTAAAAGCAGAGGGTTTCGCCCCCATAATTACCGAAGAAAAATGCGTAGACTCCAAGTACGAGATGTATTCTATACACTCGTTTCTTTTCTTTTTTTTACCCTTCGATGAAAGTGAGCGAGGGAGCAGCGACAACGACGACGACTCGTTAAATTAATTTCTTCGCTGTTTTGCACTTAAATAGTAGGGTCTCGCGTACCGTGGTTATTAATTACTCGAGAGAGAACTTTACTTGCTTGATTGTAACGACGTACAATTTTTTTTTTTTTTTCATGTGTACACGTGGACGTCTGATTGGTTTAATTGCGCGCCTGCAGTTATTTAATTTATACAATTGTAGACTGCTTACGTAAATCGGACTTATGAGAAAGGATTGATTGTCGATTTCACACAACAGAGTGAAGGTGACGATTACTTGCAATTCCGTACATCTATTCCGTTGAACTGGATAGCCTTGATCGCTATATATCTACCAAAAAATGTTAGCTGCTATATGCCGAACAGAAAGTCATAAGAATACTCAATGTTTTTCGTGAGCTCTTCATTACGCGATTACGGTCGAGGCGCTACCGTCGAGTGCCAATTGGGAACCTCAAACCTGCGCCATGGCCCAAGAGAATTTTAGCTTGGTTTCATGCCTCTTAATAAGCTCTCTCTCTCTCTCTCTCTCTCTTTCCCGTGGCTGCTCTCTTCTGCAATTTTTGCTTATTATTATGATTTATATACGCTGTGGTAAAATACTGCACCTATACCATTCCGCGCGCAACCAGAAGATTTGCTTACGTAATTTCGCGATATCATAAATTGTGGCTATTACCGTTCTGGCAGAAGAATATTTAATACTTTTTACAGAGCGTACATCGAGTAGTACACTCGCGAGATGTGCCAATTATCGCGCCGATCAATTATAAATCTTGGCTTACTCAAGATTCCTCGATGGGGTAATTTTTTATTTTTATAAAAATTCGCGTATTGCAAGGGACATGAAAATCCTTTCGAAAATTATTGCTTTCTCGAAGGCACGCGTGGTGCACCAAAAGGTACGAAAGATTTTTTTTAGACGATTCGCATTCCAGAACGTATGCGTTTCAAAACCCCCGTGTGCTACCATTAACTTTCGGCTTTAAAATCTCATTACGAATTGCGCACCAACGCTCTATTACTTCCAAGAAACGCCTAACAATTACAATCTCTGTTGGCAGCAGCATCCAATTACAATAACGGAGAGTCGTGTCTGCATTTATACGAGCATAAAAGAAAAGACACGCGTAGGTGATTACAATTGGCTACTGGCTCATCCGCAAAGGGGTCGTTTCGTTCGCACGCTTAGCGAGGAGCGCTAACACATGATATTACGCAAAGTACGAGAGGCTCTCGTGGAGGCTGTGCATGCACCTGACGCCGCGAGAGCGTGCCTTTCTCCTCCTTCGCGCTGTTATATTTTTTAATCGATATGCAAAGGAGAGACCACTTTCACCTCGGCGAATTGTAAGTCATGAGTACTATTCCCACCACGTTCGCCTCTCTGCAATTATATCTGCGCACGACGGATCTCAATTTTCGCGAGGATTATAAAACCTCATTGTTTTTCTTGTCTCTCTCTCTCTCTCTCTCTCTCGCGTGCTTTCGTAAATATGTCGCCGACGTGTGATTGCACACGAGAGCAAGTTTTTCTTTCGCTCGCGGATATATATTTTTTTCATTATTGAAAAGCGAAGTAACCTAAATCACGCTACACAACAGCACTGCTCGACGTGCGCATTATATCCTGACTGTCGATGTCGGAGAGTGCCTCTTCAAAAGTAGGACACCGCTGCTTGCAACTCTCTCTCAACTCTTTCATTCCCGCGGGAAATTTCGTGAAAGTGCGCAGACACACAAGTGCAACAAACAGTCGGTCGAATCTTCGTGGAACAAAGCGTCGAGCAGCGAGAACAGGTAGATATACAATTAAAGGTAGGAATTCCAAGGTGCAATTGTTTTTTCCGAGAAGTTTTTAGAAGTATACTTAGTCATAGGATTGTCGTCCGGTTAATTTAATGTGTAGTATGATGCCTTCGACGAAATAAACGTCAAAGCTCAATCGATGTAATGGTACAGTAACGTCGCTTTGGTTAAAAAATTTCGATAAATATTTTCTATTTATCGTTCTATTTTTTTTTTCAGTATTTTGCAGATTTATTAAAATGATAACAAAAGTAATTTTAGAAAGTATGTATTTTATTATAAAAAGAAAATTGACTATTATTCGCAGAGGGAATTTCTTTAAGTTGGAATGGATTTTAAATGGCACAAAATGCAAAAAAAAAGAATCCGAAAAATGTACAAACAAGCAGCCAATTGCAGTTTTAACATTAATCAATAGCGAATTAAGAAGAAACTACCCCTTCAAATAATTAAACAAAGCAACGCTCATTCAAACAGCCCCTACGGGGGGCATACATTGTCATAATGTAAACAGTAGTACCTGCAAATCCGACAAGTGTCGACCTTGGAGCACAGTGCATGCACATGTACAGATATACGTCGACCAGGGACGCCGTTAGGTCGGGTCATTGACACCGCAGCTCGAAGCTTCGATCCGTTCTTACTTCTCTTATTCTGTTATCTACATACACATGAAGGTGTGGTTGTATGGTGAAGCGTTAAGCTTGCCGGTAAACAGATTTTATCATTGCTATTATTGTGGGTTTGAGGTATAAAACGAAAGATTATTGTTTAAATTTTGCAAATCTTTTTTAATGTTTTTTTGTTATTTTTTATCAGCTTTTTGATCTCGACGATTATTCCGGACGACTGTGTATTGCGATTCAAAGGTACAAATAGTATAAAGGGTACCAGAGTACAAACATTGCGTAGGAACTAGATTATGCGGACATAGAAAAATGCGACTTTTAGTGCGCGTTTGTGCCGTGATGCTTAGAGATTCGTTTACTTTAATTAAAAATTTTGAACTTGAAATTTTTTTAATGTATAAAATACCTTTTGGTAAAGAAAGTAATATTTAGAGTTTTTTTACTTTCTTTCGTATTATAATTTTGTAATATTTTATTGTTATACCGTACCAACTATTTTCAATTAACGAACCATATTCAATTCGCACCTCAGCACAAAAGCGATGGATTTATGTGTCTATGCAGTTCCTTTCAGTATCTTCTTGCTGAAGAATCAATTAGTCTGTAAAAAACATGTCAGCAGGCGCGACGTTTACAATAAATATTATGATAGAACAACGCAATAATAAATATATATAGCTTTTATGCATGTGTATACACAATATAATATAATTCAATGTAATATAGGAAGAAACATGTCGACACGACTAATCTAAAACACTCAAGAATGTTTCCTCCCTCGCTTTCGCTGCGGCGTATTATTTACAAAAGTCATCGTTTTCAAACTAGTCAACTATTATCTTACAGCTAGGATTGCTATATCGAGAATATCGTTTGTTTAGCAGTTAAAATAATCAATCGAATCGAAACGATTCAAACTAACGATTTTTTGGTTTTAGACAGTCAATATATGTTTGTCTCTTTTTTTATAATTTTCAATCGTCGGGATATCGATTACACACAATCAGAATTAGAATACGTTTTTTCACATTACCTTTGCTTGTTGTAATACCAACTGATCCATTTTTATCGTGAGTTATTCTTACGAACGCAATTACAACTTAAACAGTTAAAAATATCACATTTTTATTGCTGTACAATTACAAAATTCTATAATATTTAATTTCAATTTCAATTCTTTTTTATATCGAACAATAAACGAAATATCGTTAATACAATTTTTTTGGTTTGTTAATACTGAGAATGAGTTTAAATTTCTTCTAAAATTAACATTACATTCTTCATATCATTACATGGAAATTATATATCGAATACAAGAATAATATTCCTTTTGAAAAATGAGAAAAAATCTATTCTACTCTATGAATACTTACTAATACACTTTCTTTCGTGGATTGTATCGAAGCTCACATTATTCATTGCTTTCATTCTGCGTGAACGAAAACATTGTTCTATCTCTCAATCATTCATTCACGTTGATTATACCTCAAATAAAAAAATGTGAACACTCGTTTTATCGAGCATTTTTTCACCGATCGCCAGCGATTTTCAAATTCACTGATATGACTGGCAGTTACAGTATCAATTTTTAATGTAGTTGCATGTTTCATATCTTTTGAATTTTAGACAATGTACGCAATTTGACTTGATATTAAATTTACCAATGAAAACACTATATTTTCATTAGACATGAATATTGATAGCAAATAGACCTCTCGACGTTAGTAAAAAATTACCCGCAATGATCAATCTATGAATTAATAGTGTGAATAAATAGTAGGTCCATGATAGTTTGTACTCTATGGAAGACAAATAGTGGTCTGTGTATAAAAGAACATTTTATCGGAATGTATTTTTCGATCAACCATGCAGCTACTAGATCGATTCTGATTTTCATCTAAAAACCACAGGACTTCTAATCATTTATTTAATTTTCTCTACGTTGATTTATTTAGAAAAGGTTACGGTCCCATTGGAAAAATATTTTTGCCATATAAAAAGGTATAAAAGACTAGCTCGAAGAATTCTACAATATCGAAATGGTCCTTTATCAACATGTGAATTTGCTACTCTAACATTGCGTGCGTTAGGTATAATGTTTTGTTACAAAAACAGTTCAATGCAAAAAAGCGTTTTATAAAATTCTTATAACTTTAATATCGATTAATTATCAACGAAAAAGGAAATTATGATTACCTATCATAGCTATCGTCACTTTTTTTATTAAATACTAATGGACAAAAGCTCAAAAGCGAATACTCAAGAGGAAAATTCCTCAGCAGATTAATTTTTTCGATTTGTTTTTATCTAAAGCTAACATCGTACCATTCTTAAAGAGAAAAGTGTTCTTCTTTGGGAAAAGTCGTTGGCAAAGGTTTTGTTTGGTCGCAAATCCTGTTTTATATCGAGGTTGTTGAAGATCGGTACAACGAAAACGCTACAACTCGCCCAATGTGAACTAATCTTTGAAAGTTTTAATTTTTCTGATAATCACAGTTGGGATATTACATACTTCGTCTCGGTCCTCACGGGATTTTGGTCTAGGTGACAACGATTGTGTGAATGGTTTTTTATCGAGTATCGTCCATTCATGACCGATCGGTTTCTATTAGAACAACAATTAATATCAACTTTAAAAATGATTTTGCAAGACCCTATGCTAACGATTTGGGTAAAGCAAAGATTAGTATACTAGCCAGATTAAAATATTGTATTTTCCAAGTGGATTTTACCGATCGGTGCGAATAGAATGCTCTCGATATGTTGGAAGAGGTCGTGTGAACTTATCGCAATCACAGCATACGGTCACATCGATTCTCGCGAATTTCCAGTTGATCGCCCTTCAGTTTTATACCAGTTTGACGAATTGCGATACCATTGTGGCTTTCTTGTATATTAACATAACACGCTTTTTAAAATGCTATAAACGCAGCTTCTCAAACAGCTACTGTTATTTTTGATTGTTATTGCTACGTGCTTGTGTAAATAAACTTTCATTTCATTCAAAATAAGATTTTAGTTTATTTTTCGAACATTCCAGTACTTTAACTTTTCAATAATGTTCATTTCAATTTTCACTAATATTAGTAGCGTCTAATTAACATACAAGCGCAATTACGCCAAAAATCTCATTACAATTCAGTTCGAATAATGAGTATCGATCGTCTTGGTGGCACATGCTGAGCAGCGATTTGCTGGAGTTTCGCGAGTGTAAGCGATCAGATGAAGTATGTGGGATCGTTCTCGGCGATACGGTCAAGCTGCGTAGGCAAATTATTCGGTCTTTGATGACGATTAACCACCGTAGCCGACGTTGTCGCCGTTGACATCGTCGCCGAGTGTCTCCTCTTCGATTGCCCCTTGCGTCATATATAGGTCGGCTTCACTTTGTACGCTTTCTTCCATATCTCGCACAGGCATACCGTGCTGTGAAACCTACGAGTAGAAAGTCATTTGAGTTAGCTCTAGAAATAAAGAGACGGTCAAAATATTTCATGAGTCGTTAACCTGTAGAAGATTGCTAGAGGCATCGAAACATGCGTTATAATGGTCCACGCCCAGAGTCCGTAAAAGTGCAGTTGTACTGGATGCGATTCAGCTCTCGACTTTTCAAGCGTATTGATTGCCCACATCGACAGATTTGTCACTAGTAAGAAAGTAACCACCTGTCTGCCAGGTTTATGCTTCATATGTTTGGCCGATGCGACAGTTCTCTTAGATGCATCCAGTATGAAAATCGTCTGAAACGTCGTCTGCACCACACTTGCCAATGCGGTTATCAATACTAAAACCGTGTGCTTCTCGAGCGTGAAATGGCTGCCAATTATGGTAAAAGTTGAGTAGATGAACATTCCAGTTTGCGCGGCCACAAGTAGGATGTTGTCGAGTTCCAGATTTCGTGTGCCATCGTAACGCAATTTACTCATTTGACACATCCCAACCATCGTTGCCAAAGTCGACATTCCGTAGAGCGTCAGCTCGCATATATTCACCTCTTGTACGGCCAACGCTACGAGTTCTGGTCTTGAAGCCATTACGAAGAACAAAATGAGTGAAATGATGGTGAGGACGAGAATGAGGATACCCAAGAATAGTCCTTTGTGCGCTCGTGCACAATCGACGCTGTAGTGATGTGGTGACCTCCTGTGAATGATTGTTTATCAGGCAAAGTTTGCAACTAGCACGAGAGTAACTTTAGTGCGCTACACTAGAAGCTTGAGCTAGTTTGTTACAAATTTTTCAATTTCATTAAAATGTACACGAAGCGAATGTTACAACTATCAGGCAACGCGTGGTCCAGTTGTGAACTTGGCTAATCGAGTTATTAACAAATTCGTTAGAAATTCGATTATGTTGCGCTCATTGGCCTTTGCTAATTAGGATTCAATCCCTGGTAATTGGCCCAATAAATACTAGGGATAATTCATTATTTATTTAGATTGATGCTGAGATTACAATGATGATAATCGCCATTTTTATTATTATCGAATTATTGAGTGAGATTTGTCTAGTATGGAATTGATTCTCTTTAATTAATTACAATTATTATTTTATTAATTCAAATCTGTAATAACTCGCAACTAAACAAGGTACCAGAAAATAATAATCCAATTGTAGTTTTCCAAAAAACATTAGTCTTACCTATAAACGTGGGTGTGATGCCGTGTAAGCGGCATCGCTTGCTTGTTCGGCCACTTGGAGATATTCTTCCACATAACATAAAGTATAGCAGCACAGATAAGACTGTACTCGATAGTACAAGGAAAAAGGAATGGCGAGGCATCTTGTACGAGTGAGCCCATAATGTTGGTACGTCGACATTCGAATATATGATGAGGACCTTTTAAGCCTCGTGCTATTCTCGCGTGAGCTCCAGCATGTGGATCGTGAGCTACATGACCGCCAAGGTGTAGATGGCCGGCTTTCGTGCCTGCGATAGCAAGAAAAAAAGAAGTTGACAGGTTTCTTTCTTATGACCATCGGATATGCGGTGTAATAGGTCTAATTTGCTCCGTGCTATCTACGTAATTGAGCTGTAAATTTTCAGGGTCTTTAACCCTTCCAACGTATTTTATTTTATCAGGAGATTTATGGGTTCCGCACATTTCTTTTGAATTTGATAAATTAGTAAGACGTACCTAATCTGTGCGAAATGCGAAGAGAATTATTTTCCGGATTATAAAATGTGAGTATCTCGTGTTTCGTTTCTTGGATGAGAACGTTTAGCCAAACAGCAAGATTCGTGCCGATCATGTGCATTAGACCAAACCGTGCGAGAACACGATGATTATACACTGTCATTTGCTGAAACAGACAATAAATTTATAATTACGTACAGTTGACAACACATTAGATAGAATCTCCTTCGTATCTAATCAAAGTAAAAGAACGTCTTTCTTAGAAGCCAAGCCATTTGTGCAAATCGCTTAGTAAGTAACTGATCCCCCTCCTCATAAGTTTCTTTTATCCATTCTGTCGAAGTACTTGCATTTCTAAGTTATATCTGTTATCTTTTCTTCAAACGTAAGTAATATTCGCTTCTAAAATTCTTTACCAATAGACAACAACATTTGTAGAAATAAATACTTAACTTTTTTATTTTTCTCACCCTCGAATGCGCTAAAGAAGGGTGCGTTTATGAGAAAGAAAAAAAATTGCTACCGCTCGTGAATCCCATCCCCTTCTACCTTCTGTTATATTGAACCGTAACGACGACAATGTTGCATTTTCTCTTATTTGCTACCCTTCTTTAAGAAGAGCTTTTTGTCCTGCGACCTACTCACGTGTGTGTTTTACGATTATGAAATGCGGTAGACTGAGTTTTATTCAATGTTTGTTTCCTTTGGTATCTGAGGATTTCTTAAGTAGTTCAAATGTAGTAGTGTTCAACCTTCAGTTAATATTAGGAAATTATTACTCTTGGTAAGAACGCTTTTATGATATTGTCTTTTTTCATTTGGACAGATTTAATCATTCTTTTGTAGTGCATATATAATTCCCTGGCGAGTATATAAACATAGACAAGATCTTATTACTCAGCAAAGTTGAAGAATATGGTTACGAAAGTTCAATTCTCATATTTTTTTACCATGTCGAGAAATGACGATTGACTTTCTCGAAAATAAATTAGAAAATTGCAGTTGTTAAACGTATGATACTGACTTTTGATTCATTCAGTCCCACAGTTTACTTTTTAATGACATGCCGTGTACGTAACATACAACTGGCTAAATCTTGTCAATCAGTGGTTGCCATACCATTTCAGTTGATGGTATTATACTGAAGAGTTCATACGTGAACATGAGAAAATATGACTAGATTTTAGTGAAGGAGCGTTAATATTATTCCTATTACTAACTTACTTAAATATACAGAATTGTTTTTAGTGTTTATGAATTCCATGAATTTGTTATTCAAACAATGAATATGTTGAACTTATTGCGTATGTGCATCTTAGTGAGTGTAATTAATTTATCCAAGACAGTTCATTTACAAACACCAAATATATCAAGAAATATCGAAATACGTGAACGTCTTTCAGTTACTGTGACGGTTGGAATGGATTTGTATGTGATATTTTACAATACAACGCATGTACGTATTGAATCAACTGATAAAGAATACAGATCGTGCATATTTCTTGCGGAATCTTTTACAAATAATCAAATCCATGCATCGGTATTAGGAAATCAACGTCGGATCCTGATATGGAGTATCTATCGAAGTGAATTTCATAAAAAAATAATTGAAGTACAATCGACGATACTTCTCATTGATCCATGGCGTTGTCATTACAAACGTATATCGTTATTGAATGATTATCAACCGCGCTGGTATCAAAGAATCAATTTAGGTAAATTTGATTATCCACATGTACCACAAGTGGTGACTTATACCAACAGTTTCGATGTGTTTTTCACTGGGCCAAACGTTTGTTCACCCTGTCGATTTGATATCGACGGTGAAGAAATTAAAATATATTATCAGATTAATCCTGATCGTTTTGATGCTGTGGAATCGTCTTACGTGCAAGCCATAGCTTTGAAAAATGGAACTCGTGGATATTTTCAAGTATACCGTTTCGCCAATTTTACCGCTAAGATACAAGTCCTTGATAATAATTTCAAGGTTGTTAACCACATATTTGTCCGTCATATGGCATCTTTGGTAGATGTTTCTCGGGTGAGTAAACTAATATAAGATGAAATATAAAAGATTATTGATTATTGAAATAGTCATATACTTCATACTATTAAAGTGAGAAAAATGTGGTTTACTTTTTATAGATTGAAGAACCAGCAATTGTTATATGTTATTTATCGCGCTATCCCAAACAACCACGCGGGGACTTGAAGTACGTTTACTGTAAGAAATACGATGTCGAATTGGATCGTTTATTCTATATCCGTTTGCCGATGGCCGTAGAGACGTATCCTGCTGGTTTTTTATTAACTGTTGACTCCATGGGACATATGTTTGTCTCATATGAAGCTCCTTATGGAAACTCTACGAAACTTGCTGTCTTTCAGTATGATATTAAAGGAAATCTAACAAAATTATTAGATTTCAGCGATTTTAATGGAATGAAGAAAGTAGCTCAGGGCTCAGTTTTTACGAGTTCAGATTTTTGCTTAATTTCATGGATTAAACGAAATGGAATAGACAATTGCAATAAGATTATAGAGTGTATTATCATGTAAATATTTAAAGATTGCTTGTAATAAGAAATTTTTTAGTCTTGCCATATAGATTTATGTATGCAGAAGCCTATACTATCATTTATAGAATCTTTACATGGAATTTAAAAATTCGATATTATTTTACATACATAATTTTATTAAAATTATGTAAACATATATACAATATATTTATAAATTTTCATTAAATTATGTATGAATTTCGAAACTGCGCAAATTTTATAACGTATAGTTTATATATATGTTAATTTCTGAACCACGCGTGCATTGTATTATCTTTGATAATCTGAGCTTGAGCATATATAATCGCATATTATGAGGACGTTCGAGCTAAACAGCACGTCATTATCATAGTTATTTACCATCAATATGGGTGGTTCAAATCACCTTTTCATAAAAAATAAAATGTCACAGATTGAATTTTGTTCAATGTTTGTGTCTTTTTCTCATTAAAAATTTCTAGGATAACTTTAATTTATTCTCGATCAAATTTCGAGTAGAAATTAGAAAATGATTATTTTAGCTGCACTTCTGTAAGCGACACAATTGTGAATCTGACATATATGTAAACAGATATAATTTTATCATTGAGGGGAGTGTAAGATTATAACTGCAAATGCTCTTATAACTCTTATTTGTTGTATATTAAAAAACAGCATCTATCAGCCATGTGCATAATAGATAACAGACTAAATCTTGTTGTTAGCTAGTGGTATACTATTTCAGTTAACAGTACCACGCTGAAGAGTTCATGTATGGGTAAAAAAGTGTATTCAACTTATTTTATGAATGGATACAATTTGTATTATTTTACTTGCAAGAATGAAATAATTTCTCAAGTCGAGTTTTTGAATTTCATATATTTTTTTATTCTTTAACGAATATGTTGAATCTACTTTTTATGTGGACATTAGTTATCGTAGTTAGCTTATCAAAGGCAGTGGACTTTGAAAATTTTGTACTAGTTGAAGTTGATTTGAAGCAGCCGAGTTTAACAAGAGTTATCAAAGTACGTGAACATCTTTCAGCAACCGTGGCGGTTGGAATACATTTATATACAATATTTTACAACACATCGCATATCCGCATTAAGTCGACTGACAAAGATTATAGATTATGTACATTTCCTGCTGCTTCTTTTTCAAATAATCATCAAATTTATGCAGCGGTATTGGAAAGTAAACTTAGATTTATCATATGGAGTATCTATCGAAGTGAATTTCATAACAAAACGATTGACGTGCAATCAACGATGTTCATCGTTAATCCGTGGAATTGTAATTATAAAAACATATATCTGCCTGTCGATCATCAACCGCGCTGGTATCAACGAATCAATTTAGAGAAATTCGATTATCCACATGGACCACAGGTGGTAACTTACAGTCACAGTTTCGATGTGTTTTTCGGTGGACCAAATGTTTGCTCACCATGTCGATTTAATATTGATGGTGGAGAAATGGAGATGCAACATCAACTTGATCCTGATCGCTTCGATGCCCAAGAAGCATCTTACATACAAGATGTAGAATTGGTAAAAGGAACTCGTGGATATTTTCAAGTTTATCGTTTTACCGATTTCACTACTGAGATAAAGATTCTTGATAGAACTTTTTCGAGTCTCGAAGACATGCGCTTTCATCACGTCATATCTTTAATGAATGTCGATCGGGTGAGTATTGTTATTTTTGAGTATTATTAGATTATATCAATAAGTTATTGATATGATGTAAGTTTTTTGCGAGTTTCCACTTGTTCCGTAATAATGTAGTGAAAAAATTATATTTTATATTTACAGGGAACAGAACCAACGATTGTCTTTTGCTATTTGTCACGCTATCCAAAACCATCACAAGATTCTAAAGCGAAAAAATCTCCTCCTGACTACAGGCATATCTACTGTAAGAAATATGATATTGATTTGGATCGATTATTTACAATCCGATTGCCAATTCCTATTTTAGAAGCATATCCTAATAGCTTCTTTTTATTTTTGGACACGAGTGGACATACATTTGTTACATACGAAGCTCATTATGGCACATTTTTTAACTCTACAAAACTCGTTTTATTTCAGTATGATATTGAAGGAAATCTCATGGAATCATTCGATTTCAGTGATGTTAATGGAACAAAAAAAGTTGTACAAGGTTCAGTAATTACAAGTTCGGAGTTCTGTTTAATTTCATGGGTCAAACAGAATGGGAGAGACAGTTGTAATAAGATTATAGAGTGTATTACCGTGTAGACTTCTATAAACATTTTTAAGGAAACCTTTTCGATCCAAATTTTTCTGTAGTCATGCTATATTACTTTACACGGATGTCTATCACGATAATTAATTTTAAACTATTTTTTTTAATTGTATATAATAGAAAATACAATATACTTTTAAGGTGTTTTACTAATATACGTTTGATTAATCAACGAGTGAAATTATAATGAAATATGCTCATTATTAAAATTTTTCTTGATTTATTGATTCAAATGCAATAAAGTTATAAATTTTGAAAAATTTTTGTGAATTTATATAAAAACAAAGTAAATATATCCAGAGATCTTTTGTAAGAGTGAATTAAAAAATTGCAGCTGTCTATTTGATTGTGA